AAGGACAGAAACACACGTGCTATTTCCCAGGGATGGCACAGGGAGCGAGACTCTCCCTTCAGTTTTTGTTCAACAAGAAAGCCGTGCCCAGTGGGAAACACTCTTGTTCCGCAGGGAAACACAACTGCTACGAGTTCAAGATAAGCAGTGCTCAACACACGCCAACATTTCTGCAGCTTCCTCCAAGCTGCTGATCCCCTACATCACTGTCTCTAGGAAGGAGCAGTGCAGCAGAGATAGATGTGCAGAGAGTGGGACAGGGATTTGCAGGAGCCAGCTGGCTGAAACCCACAGATTATGGCACACAGAATTTCTATTGCAGTCCCAGTCCGATGCCAGAGAGAAGCACAATAACCAGCTTTCATTACCCTTTGATAACAGATTCTGAAATTCAGCTCAGTGAGCCTTGCAAGAGCAGTAGTAAAGCAGGCAATTAACAGTGTAATCGGCATCTGCTGAGAGGAAGGTGTTACATGGTAGAGCTTCCCAATAGGCTTCCTTGGGTAGGCGAGGAGGGGAAGGTTTGGGTCAGGGCAGGTCGTAACAAGTAGACAGGAAATCAACCCCACAGCAATACCAGCAGCTCATCAGCACACCTTACCTCTCTAGGTTGCTCACAGCTACATCCTTTCCTAGGTTTAGCACTTTATGGGCCAGGGCAATGACTCTGAAGCCTTGGCTTGTGTACATCTTAAGCTCCTCTAAGAAATTAGCTGGGACTGTTTATAGGAAAAAAAGTTCCATGGTTAGAATACTTCAACCTTGCCAACTGCTTCTCTAGTGTTAAGTGCCTGTCCTTTAAACCACTTTGTAGCATTAGTTACAGCACTGTGGCCTCTCATAAAAGTCAGCTGTTTTGTACCAAGGCTGTGTAACTGACTGTTCAAATAAGTGACCTATGAGTCTGTTTTATACTTTTTAAATGCATGTTAAGGTGCATGTAGATAAGATGAATTACTGGGCAGAGGAGAAACGACTGACTTCATAATTTTCTCCTAAGCTTTTCTCTGCATACGTGCTGAGTGACTGAGGAAATTGTTTTTATGTTTATGGCTTAATATGAGAATTCTCTCAAATCCTAAATTTTCAATTCTCTCATCATTCCCACAACTCTAAAAGCAAGAGTTCCTTTTAACTTTGCAGTACTTTTTACTCACTATGTACTGCAATCACAGCTTTATAGTGCGGTACGTAATTATTCATTAAGCTGTAACTAATATAGAAACAATCAAGACAGGATAAGAGGAGCTATTTAGAAACCTCAGAAAGTGAAATATAATTTTGAAGATATTTTTCTTGCTGATGTTGACTTGTTTGGAGGTTTGTGTCATTAGATCTTAGGTGGTTCTAAACTAAATCTTTCCACTGTCCCTCAAAACCATTTTCACCTGGTTTTGGGTCAGTACTATCTGAAATAACAAACCACAGAGCCACAGACCATTTGTACTGTGCTTGCTTGGCAGCTTTTTCAAGTATTCAGTAAATGTGACCTGAGTTTCAAGTTTGCAGACAAATTTGAGTATAAGCCTATAATATTGTTCACATACAAAAAAGAAAACCCTATGTTTACTTGGAGAGAGAAGACAGAAGTCTTGGCTCAAGTGTTAATAGCAATTATCCTTAATAACAGTAATTTGCATGTCCACAGCAAGTTTCCCATCACTGAGATTTAAAGCCTTTGCAAGCTGGGTCAGTAACTCAATGCTGAATTTACAGGGCAATAAATTAGCAGGAAATTTAAGAACTTGTACAGCACAACACACTTGCTCTGGCACATGCAATTACCATGATCCTGTGTCTGGCTCTGGGTGCATAATATTATTTATGTGCTATATCTTCAGCTGATGCAAGTCAGCTAAGGGATGCATAAGGGCTGAATCTCAGGCTGTGCATCTCACTAGCTGTTGGGCTGTGTGAATCTTTAACTTGCAAACAAGCAATAAAAACTTGTTTGTAGCATTAACTAATGATATCTAACAAGCCCAAGGCTTGCTTGTGGGAAGAATCATACACATGCAGGTACAGTGTGGACAGTGGGCAGAGTGAGCGCTGAAAACCAGCATAAACTCTGGTTTGGATGAAGTCCAAATAAACACTGTGAAATTGCCCTTTCCCCATTCTATACCAGTTTCTTGTCTACAAAAGCTGGACACTATTTCTGGGGCTCCTTTCATGTAGAGGTCATAGTGTTCCTCTCCAATCTTCTGTGAAACGACAGACATCCTTTGCAGCCCAGAAGAAAATGGGAATTGATGCAGGATTGCTATTCCTTCCACGGGAGCCTGGAGAGGTCAGGAAAGTGAGATGTTATTTAAGTCATTGATTACACTAAGCAAATCCGTTCTGAACTTCAGCTCTTTTGGGTCTTTCTTGCTAAGGAGATTTATTATTAATAGGAGATTATTTCACTTTTGCTGCCTTTTGGCTATGATATCACTGATTGCAAGTTTAAGAACCACAGTTACAACCCTGTCTTCCCAGTGTACTTCCCGGGAACCTCAATGTTTTGCTTTATATTTAACTGGTTTTCCAGACTTTGTCCCATCCTTTCTCTTAATAACCACATATTAATGTAATATTCCTGCATTTACAGTCCTGGGGACTAAAATTTGATGTGTTACAATGACATTACCATGGGAACAGAGGAATCTGAGAAACAAGATTGATTTCCTTGTTGCCACAGCACTGTCTTGCTAGTATTGCTAGCAGAAATCACATTCCTTCCACCAAGAGGATGCTGGCTGATTCAGCATTTGGACTGGAAACATAACAATGTTCAACTGTCAAAACTTGGAGCTACCCAAGTGCACTTTTAAGAGGAAGAGTGGAAAAAAACACCACCATGCTTTGGGGTGATGCTGATCAATCTGCTAGTGGGTTGCATGACTATTACCAGCAGGACTCATGGACCCATTTCCATGCTTCCAGCTGTAATGCCTTTATCCTTACTCACATTGCCTCCTCCTGCAGATGAACTCATGCTTTAGACATTTATTCTGTTTACATGGTTTCTCTGCATTAGTTCCCACTTAAACTGTGTAGTTTCTTTTTTGCCAGCAGCTTTACAGGGTGAGGACTCAGAGAAGTCTGTATCTTTCATCAGCACAAAGAGTGGAGTTGGAAATGAGGGGCTTTTAAGGCCCATGAAATGCTTTAGAAGCCATTTCAGAGCAGCATCTCCACTTTAACCAGAATTCGCCTTCTGGTCCTGTGCTTCCAGGATGTTTTGGGGATGATGCAACACAGTACCAAGAGTGGACGAAAGGCATTTTACAACTGCCAGCCGAGGTAAAGGAACAGTGCATGTGCTAGGAGTCTGCACATACTTCAGGTTGAAAACACAGAATATTAATTCTCAGAAAGAACTGAACTTACACTGCTGGCCTTCGGCCCTGGTCTAACGATGCAGGTGTCGAGAACACCAGCTCCATCCTGAGCCATGCTGGAGTCATCTAGCTCCTGTACAAGGAAAAGCAATTATTTCTTCAGGTGTGAAAGCAATGGGCCTTCACACATGTTAAAGCAGGGACAGTGACACGTGGGAGTGTGTTTCCCCCTTACTGTTGGCACTCAGTTGCAGAAGCATTTTGTTCTGATCTAATAAGTTTTCCTATCCATCACCAGTGTTAGCCCCTCTGCAGCCTTGTCCTTAGCAGAAGCCTACATGACCCTACATCTTTTGACTTGATGAGAGTAAAAACCTGTGTCAAATTTTGTAGTTTCTCTAAACTCAAGTTCCACATAAATTTAACACCATATCAATGATG